TGTGTTTTCTATTTTGATGCTTTGGTGAGGAAAGCACTCCCCCCCAAGACACTGCTAGGTAAACTAGGAAGCAGGGCTTTGGAGCTGTACTCCAGCTCCAGGCAAAAACCTGCAGCTCCACTGCTCCGGAGCTGCTCCGCACTCCGGCTTCGGGCTCCGTTCCAAAGCCCTGCTAGGAAGTGGAGTTTCTATTAAGACACATGGACCAGTACATTTTTAAAAATGACTTTTCAGGTTTAGTTAAAATAGAATTAATCATGTAATGCTTTTCTTTCGAAAACATTATTTCGAAAACCGAAGTTTCCAGTAAGAGATTTTCACCAGGGCACAACACTGTCTAGGTTCTTATTCTGCACCAATCACTGTGGTATGAGGAAAGAAAAGTGTTTGACACTAAGAGAGGGCAAAATGGTGCAAACGGATTGTATCACAACTGAGGAAAGTTGGATGCATATGCTGCAGCTTTGCCAATTACCAGCAGTTATGAATAACTTGGATAAAAGTAATCAGGATTCCTATGAACAGGAATCGAACTCTTTACATAGTATTTTTATGACAAGAGCAACTATAAAAAAATGCATCACCTGCTATTGAAAGATGATCCCACGGGTGAGATGTTGCTAAAGAAAATACAAGACTCAAAATGAAACTCAAAATAGAAAAGTTGACATTTTTTTTAAAATGAAGGCACTGCAATAGCCTTGCATCAGAACGGAAGCTAGCTTTCTTCAGTATGAGCAACTGAAATAGTGCAACATTGTGCCAGTGTACCAAAGGCAGAAAGTGAACTAGCCAGTCTTCACTCTCCAAGCCGAGAGAAATGCAAGGTAGTAAACTAATAGCGAAATAGAAGATTTTAAATACAGGTATAATCAAATATTCTCTCCTCAGCCCTGGCAGCATACCTTTAAGATTGAAATACCTAGATTCTCTAGGACTGTGGAGTCCAGTCCACATGGGATCAACTCAGCCCTTTATCCGCCCCAACGTAGATAAATTAAGCTCCACATACTTTATGCTGGGGATGGGGAGGGGTGTCAGGTTTTGAAAGAGACACCTTATAACCTAGGTCCTGTCTGTTCTCTGTGGACATATGATATTCCATGGCCCTGTTAGTCCTTGGTATAATTTGTCCCCCTGCTGTCATGCAATGTGTTGTGCCCGAATTATTGAGTGGTTACTCCCATTGACCCTAGGAGGTGGCTGCATTTCATAGTTATTTGTTAAGCACAAATGACAGGTTCAGCACTTTACCACACACACAAAAAAGGAACAATCACTGATAGAGATCTTACAACCTCAGACACACCAGAGAAAAGATAAAACCCAGAGAAGGGAACAACACATTGACAGTGCTATCCTCCCCTCCCCCCCCCTCCCCCAAGCATTCAGTCCAACAAAGTTTATTCTCAACTTGTCTTGTGGGCATCATGGAAGTAGTGAGTTTACATGAGACTTGTAATGAATAAGGTTGGTAGCTTAGTGGAGTAAACTTCATGAGTAAGAGGCAGCACAGAAGCCACCACCAAATGCAAGAACGAAACAAGATGGCTTTCGAGGTGGATATCTTTGATCAAGCAGAAGGTACAGGAGGAACAAGAAGATCTAGGCCCAGACACGTAGGCTGGGACAAAGCTTTGATGCAGCAGTCGAGGGGTGTCTAATGGTCAGGACAGAAGAGGACAGTTTTGGTGGCCATGCTGTGGCCGGAGTTAAAAGGGAGAGGGAGGTGTAAAGGAGGCTGGAGAAGAGGTGGTTGCAGTTATCAAAATGCCTGTGATTCCTAGAGTGTAAATAAGGGTAACAGCAATGGAGGGTAGAGGGGGGAAGATACAGGGCCTAGCAGAGTTTTCCCCAACGATGTTCCACAAACGTATGGCAAAGTACTGGTAAACACTTGCTCATGCAAGAAGCCCCTACTGACATCAGTGAAATTACTCACATGAATAGGGGCTTGAAGATTTGGACCATTAAAGCACTTTGGAACTCTTCTAAATGCAAGTCATGAGCAAGGAACTTTTTTTTTTTTTTTAAAGCAATTAGGGTCTAATTTGCTAAGCCCTGCAAGAACTGTAAAGAGGGAACTAATTCGAGGTATCCTAAAGAATGCAATACTAATACCCCCAGAAGGCAGGGGATGGAATAACTGTTCCTTCCACCCAAAGTCTGTTGCCTAAAATGCAGTGCATTGTATTGCATAGTGATCGCTTGCTTGACACTCATGAATACACTTAAGACATGGAAAATGTTGCTTCAACACTAACCTTTCCTAACACAGCTGGTTAAGACAGCTGCATTGCTTAACAGAGCCATTGTTTTATTTTACATAACATTCCCTAGGCACATTTAATCCAGTTGTCCGGGCATGGAGGAAATCAGACCAAAGACCAAATTATGATAGTTTTTAAATTAAAAAGCCCTCAATGACATGAAAGTGCAGCTACTCCCTAAAGCAGTAAAGTGCTTTCATCATTGAAACTGCTACCCAGCCATTCCTCCCTCCCAGGGAACACTAAACCTTAAAAATTACTCCTGCAGTGAGAGTGAGAATGTAAGAGTTCATGCTATTTTCCCCCCTCCACATGCTAATTTTAGATATTCCACCACATCTGTGAGAAAACATTCTGAATAGCTTAAAAACGCTCAAGCATTTTGCTTTTCCTCAGCATTATTTGCAGTCTAGTTCTGCTACGTCACGCACTTTTTTGTTTTGTTTTTCTAACCTCCTTAAAGTGTGACAGCTCCACAAATGATTCAAGATTTCGTGCCAAATCTTGGTCCTACTGAAATCAATGGCTGTTTTGCTATTCATTTCAATGGGACCAGGATTTGAGCATTTAATAGTTTCAAGTTATACCTGATGTAGCTATTTACATGGAAGTTGTTTCAATAGTCTGCTCTAGGTCCAATAACTATTTTAAATAGGAGAACTAAGAAAGAAAAAAAAGTGGTTTGATCCTTTTCTCTGTAAAGCACCTAACACACTAGTAAATCATTTCAGGTCTAGAATATAGAAGTGACAGCACCACTGCCGTTCTAGAGCTCATCTTTGCTGTGTCCAGATTTCATTTTTTATATACATGTGACAAGATGAATGCAGATGAAAAGCTCTCTCCATCTCAAGGACCTGATCCAATGCCCAGTGACTCCACTGAGCTCCAATTGGGCCCACAAAGCACTAAATGAAGAAGCAATCAGTAACTATTTCAAAAATTTAAACCATGTCGCTGTCAAAACGAAACCAAGTCAATTAAAGTTAACAGCAGCTTCAGGTACTCTCTCTGACTCAAGTCCCTCTGTCAATTTCTGTGGTTTTACAATTTTCTTTTTTAAAAACTCCCCCTATTGCTATGTGAGAGCTCACAGTTAGGGAAAACTATGCACAGAGCTGCCAGACACACACAGAGTATTCCTTTGGAACAAAAATATGAGTCTAAAGCAATCTTCCTCTGATCTCTTATCGGTAGTAATCTTCAGTATTCTTTCCAATACTAGCAGAAGTGTGATTAAGTTGGTGTCCCTTTAAAAAGAACTGAACTCACGTTTGGCCACATATTTAGATTCTGTAGGGACAGGCTTTTACAGAACTCCAGATTGATGGAAGTGATTCCACTATATATATATATTTTTTAAACTCCTATGTAAGCAGTTGAGCAGAATTATTCTTCTACAATACTTACAACCAAACTTTGAAGTCTAGAGAACTTTATGGATCTGAATTGTCCATGAGGATAACAAAGTGTAAGTTATAAACATAGTAAACAGCAGGTTGTGGGATTTTTGAGATCCTGAAGCTGCAATCAGATCTCTATGGGCAGATTTCAGTGGTGGTCAGTACAGTGTGTCGGGGGGGAAATAAGCTCCTCTGAAGGCTAGTCTCCACCCACAAAGTCCAACAGCAGGAATCAGCAAATATCCAACAAGTAACAGAATCATGCCTGAGCCCTAGATACTTTCTTGTAGGCAGTTTCATGTTTAATTATCTGCAGACTTAGTACTGTATGCAGTGTGACAATGTTAAATGCTGGAGAGATTAAACACTTGTTTGGCAATAGGTATACCTTGGGTGAAATGTCTATCAGGGATGGTCTAGACAGTATTTGGTCCTGCCATGCGGGCAGGGGACTGGACTCGATGACCTCTCGAGGTCCCTTCCAGTCCTAGAATCTATGAATCTATGAAAGACTAAGACAGAAACATGGAATTACTTTACAACACAAGTCTATAACCCTTGTGGTGCTCCAACACTGGTGAGCAGTCTGGTAATTAAACCATTAGTTTTCAATACTGATCCCCCAGACAAGTTGGTTAAGCACAAACTAGAAGCCAAGAACACCCACTCATGGCTCTGACAGTCAGCAAATCACTCAGGGACTTAATTTCAGAGGTGGTGAGCACCTGCAGCTCCCTATTAACTTCATACGGGCTTGTGAGTGCTGAGCCCCATTTGAGGAAAACAAACAAACCACTTTGATTCAGTTTTCCCCTCAAGTTTCTATTTGTAAAATGGGGGTGATGAACATTCTTACCTCACAGTACAGGGATGGTAAAACTATGAGATACTCAGCTTACATGTCACACCTCTACCTGATGACTTTTTAAAAAAAAATAAAATAAACAGACAGACATCTGAGAGTAGTGTAACTGAAAGGTTAGAGAAGTTACCAGGTTTTCCCCAGTTTGGTTCATTTATGAGACATTTTTCTCCATGCTGTCACATATCCATTTGTGTGGGGGTTTCTCATGATGACAGGAAGAAGAAAAACTATTTTCAAGAGATTGGACAAATTTTATTTTAAACCCAGAAAGAAAGGCAGGGGAGCTCTGGGACAGGTGCAATATCCAGAACTTCTTTAACCAATTTTAAATTTATATTATACAAAATTAGGTGTCAGGTAGGCCATATCCCATTTGCTTGTGTCTGGGACAGGACATTATCCTGTACAAAACATCACACCTTTCGCCCCCACATGCCTCATTGCTTGGGTTCGTGTTCTTACCTCATAAGACCAGACACACTGCACTCCTGCAAATCTCCGCACACATCTTCCCACTTCCACGTCCTCATGAGTGGTGTACATCTCTCGCAAGCACTCTCCAATGTGAGGCACCATTCTGCGCAGCACCTCCCGGCTCATGATCACTCCAGGTCCTCCCATGCAGAAGTTCTCGCCAGGTTCCAAGGCCAGTTTCCCCATCTCTTCGGTGGTGCCAAGCCCAGTCTGTCCAAGGAAGAGGGGTTCACTGCTGTTCAAACTCCTAAGGAAGCTCTCCAATCTGTCCCCCTTAATGTAAACATCATCATCTGCTCTCATAAACCATTCATAATTGTCCAAGTAGTGGTCATGCATGTACTTGAGCATCATAAAGGATTTCTTCTGGGGTGGGTAGGAGTCATCCACGCCTTGTAGTGGCACTATCGGGATTGGAAGAGAGGTGTCCGAACCCTCACTGGAGAAGAATTCAACCTTGCCAGGAATGGTTTTGGACCAGGTTCTAGAATGAAAATACAAAGTTAAGTTTACAGACAGAGCACATCATCGTACAAGTCAAACGTACAGGAAAAAGTGACTCAGGAGAACCATTTGTTTTAAGAATTTCCTCCTCTTTAATTCTCTTGAAATGCTGTCTTCCTTCCATACAAGTGATAGTCACATACAGTGGTAAGAACCATATACGACAGCAGTTCTCAAATTGTGGGTCGCAGCTCCAAAGTGGGTTGCTACCCTGTTTTAATGGGATCACCAGGGCTGCCATTAGACTCAGTGGGGAGCAGGGGTGAAGCCCGAGCCCCACTGTCAAGGGCTGAAGCCGAAGCCCATGGGCTTCAGACCGGGACAGCGGGGCTCAGGCTACTGCCCGGGACTGAAGCCCTTAGGGTGTGTGTGTGTGTGTGTGTGTGTGTGTGTGTGTGTGTGTGTGTGTG